AGAAGTACAGAAAAAATTCTATCGTTGATTTTTTTCTTAAAATTTTGGCGGAGCGTTCTTGAAACAGAACTTGATCGATTGCAAAAGAAAAAACTGGGGGTCCATGTGCTTGTTTTTTTTCAATAAAAGCAATAAACCTTAATTTTTATTGGCAAACGGGACGTTTGCCAATAAGGCGCCAAACTACGTTGGAATAAGTTTTATTCGCAACAACGTCGTGAAATCTTTCCCGCCGTTCACTATACTACGTTGTCAATTTCAGTGGTAGAGCCAAGGTGTTTTTTTTAAACCAATGATATTAATCATGAAAATTAATAAAGCTGGCTCCTCGTAAAATAGCATCATATTTGCCAAACCTTTTGAATTGTTACGAAACTTGGATAGAAAATTTTTCTAGTAAATTACTTTTAGAAAAGAAATGTTCGGAAACAAAACAGATATATTTAATAAAAAAAAAATTAATTTGCCTCTCTGTCCGACATTAGTCATACAATTCATGTAGACAACACAGCTTGAACATAGTTTTAATTATTCAAAAGGCCCCGACATGACAAAATGTGCATCAATTATAAAGTTAGGGGGATGATATAGAAATAAGGACATTTGGTATGATTGCAAAAGAGACAACTATCAACCATAGTTCAAATGACGAATATAAACGCTATTAAAGGTCACCCTACGGCCTTCAACACAATAAAAAAAAAAAGAAAAAGAAAAAGCCACACCGTATAGTCAGCTTTAAAAAGCCCCGACATGAAAATGTGAAATAATTCAAACAAGAAAACTAACGACCTACTCTTTAGGCATTACATGAACACAAAATCGTACCCACATTAAATCGGGTCAGCTTAGTCAATTACAGTGTAGTATATCATTCCATACAGCAGTCGATATTAGAGCATGAAATTTAATGATTCTGTATCAATAGATAAGTTACCTAAGCTTGTCTTCAGGTTTTTTTTTTTATTACGGTACATATAATCATTGAATTACTTGTCTGTATTATACCTTCAATCTAGGAGTGAGTGCAACCACATTGATTGTCTGGTCCAACAAATATTTTGTTTCTTATCTGAGAAACTAATTTACAAAAAGACTTCGTATTTGGTCAGTAACTTAACATCAATGAGTTGCAACTCTGGTCTGTCAAATACCTAATTCCTGTGTGCCGATTTTTCTCTCTCAATATGTACACAGAGGATATGCTTAGCACATCAACGGGTGCGTTTTTGTTTTTGGTCTATGATACGGGGCTTATAACTGAGTCATTTTAACTGACAATTCTCCTTCATACACTTATATATTCCACGGGTTAAATTCTAAAAATGTTTTTTAAACTCTTTAATGTACCTTTTCAAAGTCAGGAGCAGTAAGATGCGCTGTCATTATTTATTACGTTTTTTTGTCATTTTGTTGATAGTCTCTGTTAAATTTATCCGTATATTTCTCATGACGATTTAGAGTTAGCCAAATGGTGAAGTTACTATATAAAAAAAAATTTGTGTAGTTGGGTTTCTCTCTCATCGATGTCTTATGTGTTTCATATCTCTTATTCATTTTCTATATGAAATAACAGACATACAAAATAAAGAATGTGGATTTGATTTTTTCCCATTCGAAGTTAATATTGTTGACTTCCTTATTAATGAATAAAGGAATAATTCTCGTGATTTGGCCGATTTTCATTGCAGGTGCTTTTTTCAAATTCGCGCAATCGGGATTATGACGTCAGTGGATTTCCGCAGATGTGACTACATCTAAAGCGACGTCGCGAAATGTAATCGTTCTTATTAGAAACATCGCGAAATTACAACGTTCTGATTAACAACGTCGCGAAAACGACACGAAAAGTTTTAAAAACGTTATTATCTGCCCCTGCTACTGTATCGTATGCCCTTAAAACGGTAGACAAACTTAATAATAATCTAGCATAGGATGATAATAACTTTAAGATTTATTGGTTATATTAGGGATTTTATTAAACAATAAGTATTAAATGGTATTTACCTTAGGTGTTTGATTTTGTCGATATTAATGTTGATCGGATTGATTTTTACTTGTTTATTGCTTCTTTTAATTTTATAAATACAGTTTTAAGGAAAAGAGTTTTAAAACTAAGACTATCGTGCAATGACATATAGCAAATGTACAACAATGACACATGCCAATTGTTTGATATTTATTTCAGAATATTTTATGTAATGGAGAAATTGCATACCCCGTCAGCAATGTACTGTTACCAGTCAGAGGCATTAGATGTTGGAAAGATATATTATAATGATCAACAAACGTACCTGCAAAACAACCACCAGAATGATACTTTTTGTCAGGTAAAATAAAAAGGCTTTGCTTGTAATCGATTGGATTGCCAATTAGAGAAATGTTTTACGAATTATGTTAATTGTAAAGATGTTGTCATGGTAATGAAATTGTAGATTCTCTAAACGCAAGTGACGAAAAATGGAAATTAAAAGACAAATACAAACAAACGCACAAGAAAAACACACAATTAGAGACAACTTAACAAAAAGGACACGTATGTCTTTTATTATCCTATCCAATGGTTTTAGGATGTTATGTAGTCATTTTACAAAAACAAGACTTATAAAAGACAATTATGATAGGACAAATTTCAAAATAAAAAATATAGAACAACTAAGAAAAAAATGATTAGCGTTCAATTTTTTGAGATATCGGTCATTGAATATTGGCTACTAATTTAGAAAATGAAATAAGAATTATTGAAACATTTTGAAAAATTGGTGGTTTAATGGCAAGTATCTAATGACACTCTGGTGAATAAAAACGGGAAATTCTGAAAATATGAAACATAATTTAAATTATGACTGACGAACATTTTTAAACATTTTATTGAAATTAAAACTGATATTTCATATAATAACATGTCATTTTACAAATTGTATATTAATATAAATTACATGTTTATTATGTATACTGAATTATAGCATTTAACGTACGTTCATGTATTGGATTTTTATGATCTTTTTTTTATATTGAAGGGTTTATTAAACTTGTACATATTTTAAAATGAATTATTAAAATTGTCAAATGATAGGTTAAAATATTACTAGCCAAGTATTACCTTTGAAATTGTAAGTTTGTTTACTTACATTTTTGGGTGATTTCATTATTTCTTATATTAATTATAGGACTAATTGGATAGTCTAAAGGATAAGTTCATACATTGGCTATGATAATTCAGCGTTGGATAATGCATAATAACTGCTGAGAGATTTACAGGAAACGGACCACTTCAACATTGGCGAGGATTTAGTTAAAATGATTGATGACCACTTGAAATCTCATGACATGATAACTAACTGCTTAATATCAACTTTATCTACTACCAAGAGCATTTCACTAAATACTTATTTCTTGAACCACAAGAAGTATTTAGCTGGTTATACAAATGAAGAACATTTAAAACCAGTAAGTTCCTTAAACAACAATCTAGTGAAGAAGATTTTATTGTGGAATTGAAGATGTGTTAAATGTCAAGATGTGGCCCGTGGTAGTAGATTATCTGCCGATGTCATTAAAAGTCACATGAATGAACTTGCAAATATCAGCCTTGGTCATGTCAACCATGAAAAACCTACTACTGGAGGCCGGGTAACTGTTGTTGTCATAAAGACATATATCTGAGGTTACTATGGACATAGCAATAGAGTTTTCAGAAAAAATTAACGTATTTGGAATTAAACTGGAGGAGTACAGGGACGCAACTGAGAATATGGAAAGTATTTTGTGCCCATCAAAAAAACAAAAAACAGTTTGAATTTATAGTTAAGAGTGGTAATGGTCTGACAACACACATTTTCATTTGTACATTGCATTTGTATTTATATCTTAATCACTATTTATGTTTAAAATATATGATTACTTGACATGAAATAAAACTATTCAGTTGAAAAACAGAATGTGTTTATATTAATTAATGCATTATGAAAAAAATTTTTTAGAAAAGATTACAAATTTAGATGAGTTTTTAGAATAAATTAATTGTCGATATCCATTCGATATCGATTCGATATCGTTGATATCGTCGATATCGACTCCTCCAAATGAACCAGGACAAATAACTGCAGATGAAGTGTTATTATAAATTTATTGTCGATATCGATTCGATATAGTTAATATCGTCGACATCGACATCTACAGATGAACCAGGACAACTTACTGTAGATGAGGTTTTATGATAAATTAATTTTCGATATCGTCGGTAGCGTCGATATCGACACATACAGATGAACCAGAGAAGTGAAGTAGATGACTTGGGTATACAATGATTAAGTTATTATCGATATCGATACGACATCGTTGATATCGTCGATATCGTAACTACATCGTGTATTGGACATACCTCAAATTTTATTTAAATAAAGTCCTAAGATAATCTTAAATATTTATTAATCAATGTTGAATGGAGATCAGTATCTTCAAATATCAACAATTTTGATTTAAGAAAAAACATTGAGAAACACCTATTCAATATAAAAAGGCAGACATTAATAGATCCATATAAATGGTTGACTGTGCAAGTGTGCAATGTATTAGAAGATGAGATTCATTTATTCGTCATTTGTAATGTACATGAGACACTTTACCTGTAAGCTATTTAACTTTATCACTTAAATGCAATCATGCTTTCCCTTTACCCTTGACTAGTTTTTGAGTAATACCTTTGCAAATATATAGTATTTTCTTCAAGATAAGAACTCAACAATTATGACAATCATAAAAAATATCAGGGAATTTAGATAACAGGTCAAAGAGTTATAACTATTGCCCCTGAATTGTCAAAATCTATAAAGATACTAAGATAATGCACCGGTCCCACATGCCTGATAAATATTGTACGGTCCCTAAAGGAATTTCAGTTTTGAATTTTCCTTCGAGTGCGGTATTTGTGTTAATTTCCACGTAACTGTTACATTTGAAATTTAATTAAAGTTTATCTCTATAAAAGTGGTACTTACTGGGCAATTCTTCAGAATTGTGTAATACACACTTTGCAGTGATGAATTCTTCGCGGCTTCCCATGGAGTCGTATTCCATCTCAAATAAAATGTATGTTATCATAATTGATATTCAACTTCAATGATGTAAAACGTGGCGTTTTATACGTCACAACTTATGTATGCCTTTTAAGAAGTAACAAAAGAGTTGTTTTGTTCCGATGACTGATAGTGTTTAATTTTTTTTTCAGATTTATGGACATCCTCTTTTTGCATTTGCCTTGGAGTTCAGTATTTTTTTTTATACTTTTTTATTTCATTAGGTGTTATGAGTTAAGTGAAAAATGATTGATAATTCAAGTTGAAACTAAGACTACACAGGCAAATTTCATTCACATGAATTTCATGTGATTTTAATTCATGTGAACCTCACATGAATTCACGTGAATTTCACCTCAAACGATCTTATACGTGATACTCACGTGCAATCAGTTCATGTGAGTTTCACGAGAATCTCATGTAAAACTCATGTGAATTTCACGTGAAAATCATATGAAATATTTTTCAGATGAAATTCATGTTAAATTTTGAAAATAAGCTTATTTCAATAACATTAAAATTTTCAAATTAAATCAAAATAATGAAAATACCAATTTGTTTGGTTTTTTTTTAAGTTCATGTAAAATTCACGTGAAATGCACATGAACATTTTTCTGTGAGTTTCATGTAAATACTCGTTTGAGGTTATTTTCACGTGAAATATTTCACATGAATTTCACGGGTATCTCACGTGAAATTCATGTGAGCAAAATTTTCCTGTGTATTTAACAAAAAAGGATTGCGAAGCCTCAGTATCACACAAAATTAAAGAATTACATATCGCAAATAATTTAATCTACCTACACGGCCTAATTGGCCTAAGCGACTTAACAACAGTGATAATTCACTCATACAGTACATGCTTTAGTGAATCAATGTGTTGTTTGTAAACTGTTATTGTATAAAAATATTAGTCATTGAACTCACCTGTCTCTACAATTTCGAGCTATATCTCTTTGGTCGCATTCTTCAAGAAGAAATGTGACAATATGTTCTTGGTTTTCACTTACTGCAATATGAAGTGCTGTTTGTAAGTCATAGTTTTGAACTTTCAAATCGTAACCAGCATTTTTGAAACTGTAACGCAAAAAAATTATAAAGATACAATTTTGAAATCAGTAACATTCTTCTGTGTTAAATTCTTATGGAAGATCTATAACTAAGAATTCAGATCTGGTAACGTTATTGAAGTAATATAAAAAGGAAATTTTATATACTGATTTAAGTTTTGTTATTATATTGTATATACATGCGCATCTGGCGCTAATACAAAATTTAAATCCTGGTATCTATGATGATTTTATTTGCATACTAGAATATGAGGCTGATATCTCAGATGACTTTTTTTTATCCCATTGGAGCATGCCATTTCTAATAGACGATTCCTTAGATGAATTTGGCAAACCATTCTGAATTTGGGATCGTCAATGCTATTATTGTTGTATTGGATTTGAACTTATGATTTGTTGATTCGATCGTCTGATGTTCATAATAAATAGCCTGATAGTTCTCGTGGTATTACAAACCCGAAATTTGTGCACACGTGAAATAAGTGTTTTCTGTAAATTTCCTGTTTTTTTTAAATATTGTAACCAATCCCAGACACAAGTCACCAGATTGTTTGGTCTCCTTGCAGTTCAAATTTGTTATAACGGTCACTAATCAATCTTTTAGTTACGATACTCACGTCAAACATACTAAACTATAAGTAAATTTACTAGAAGGAGCAATTATAAGTTTGAAATTTTAAGATTAACCCGTTTGGAGATCTCACCAAGATGTCATATTCTCGAAACGTCCACTTATTAACAAACAGACTTTTTTTGGGACTGTATTAAGAATTGACATTCCTCTATTGGTATGCATAATGTGACAGAGGAGGCTGACATTTAAATATTTTAATTCGAAAGGATTTAAAGCTTCGGAGCTTCTGATGATTGTTAGGGAATGTATTTGTAGACACTTATTTGTATGCTTATTCTCAAATATCTACCGCACCTTAAACACTAAAGACTAAACATGACAGCACTCCCTACATCAAGCAAAATTTAAATGTAGTTTAAATAGTTGTCGTTTTAAAAACAAAATTCATGTTTACATGTATGAAATATTTACACAATTTGCCTTGGTATTAACATTTACCTTTTCATTTTTTTAATATCTCCTCTTGCTGCACATTTCAGGAGTTGCATGGTCATAACATCAGCTGATGGGGTTCGAACCTATGTTAACAAAACACTTTCTGTGAAAAATTGATGATGATGATGATGATGATGATGATGATGATGATGATGATGATGATGATGATGATGATGATGATGATGATGATGATGATGATGATGATGATGATGATGATGATGATGATGATGATGATGATGATGATGACTAGGCTACTATTTTCAGGGCCCTTTTGGTCAATCAGCTCCTAACGTTTCAACGTAATACTACATCCCTGACTTTCAAGTTTTAGGATCTGAACGTTATTTATTAGCGTCAACAAATATCAATCATTCTGCTTATTTGGGTATTTCTAAGTTAAGAAATCAGAGAAAACAGAGAGGTTGAAAAATATAAACATCTCATTTAATCATTTAGAAGATATAAAGTAAGACAAAAAAAGAAAAACACCTTACTCGAAAAAGAAGATAGGGTAAGCGTCTCCTGCTCTATATGCATCACCCACCATGCAGGTCAGCACTCAAAATTTAACAATCGGTAAAATTTACAGATAAAACGAATTTTGTATTCTTAACTCCAAGGACAGTTCAAACGGAAAGTCCCTAATCATGTGGCAATATCAAAAGCTCAAACACATCATGGAATTGAAAACAACTGTCATGTTCCTGATTTGGTGCAGGCATTTCCTCATCTAGAAAATGGTGGATCATACTTGGTTTTATAAGGAGCCAAAAAAACTCACTTGTTTGACAGTCGCATAGAATTCCACCATATTGACAAATATGTGTGAACAAAACAAACAGACATAATAGGTAAAAATGTCAAAAATTGACGAACAACAATCAACTATGTGTTATAATCTTAATAACTATAAACTCAAATAAATATGTCAACATAGAAAATCAAAATGACATATAGACAATCTAAAGACAAAGCACAAAAGATAAAAATGTTGACAAGAATACACAAAAATTGCTATAACACAATAACACTATGGCGGGGTATATAAACACCGAGCCACGTGAAAAGAATATTAACAAAAATGGACAAAACAATAAAGGTTAAAAAATATACAAAGACAAAAACAAAAGAACACATAACACGTACTAAGATGATAAACAGCGTCGGTACGTATAATCTAAACTTCAAGACAATCATGTACTATTTGTGAAGTTGATACAGAATATTGATCAATTAAGTCTTGGTATCGTCCGATAATTTAAAAAAAGAAAAAGAACGAAACGTTTCTAGTATCTAAAGATATAGGACTGCGGAAACATGTCGCTAGTGAGTTAAAACACACATTTCGCATTGGTCAACAAATTTTTGGTTGTAATGTATTGTTGAAGTCAGTACTTTTGCTCATCATTCTATCATTAAAGTATGAACATGCACGAGCGTAGCATTTGTATTGAGATAATTATAAGCCATATGATGGAACAGAGGTTATGATACTGCTACAAATTGGAAAGTTGACAATTGTCAAGTTGAAATTGTCATGTTTGTCATAGAATCTAGTTTAAAATCGTCCCTTTGTGTCAATATCAAAGAAAAGATTAAGATATGACGATGACGTTGTAGTTGCGGTTCCATCTTTAACACAACTTAAGTTTACTTGAATATAAGTCCTAACTAACCATTTTGCTGCTATATATTGACAGGACATTATCAATTTATCGATCAAACAAATGTGTACATTTTGATACTGTCTTCGTAAATTGTGATATTTTATGGTATTGCTTCTTTCTTCACAAATAGAAAAATTTAAAGCAGTTAATAGGGAGAAACTGACTTACAAAAGTTTGATCATCATTGTGTGTAATGTTACTATCCAATGATTTTAACATGTATTCTTGTAATTGTGTTATAATCGGTCCCTTCTGGTCTTGTCCTCCTTCCCTTGCAATGTCGATAGGGCGCTTGTCACTGAAATGAATAAAGGAAATTATGCGTTAACCATATATTGCTTTGTAGCTATGCAATAATAGCTATTTCCAATTTATGGAATTTCGAAATTGCTTACCAAATTGAACAATGGTATCTGCTCATCGTATAGTGTTGTTTGTTTACAAAATTTAATTAAAAAATGTCAGGAAAGATTACAAATGAATAATTTCCAGCGGAAAACTGGAGAAATGAGTTTCTGGAATCAAAAGTTAAAATCATTAAAATGTTATGCTCAACTAAATAACATACAGCCTTACGATTGATTTATTCACGCCATATTAAAACAAATGCATGAGTAAATTGTTTAATAATCAACCAATATTTATTAACAACAACTTTAATATGTTGAACATATCTCTTCGTGTTAAATAGAGTAAGGTATCATTATATTTTCCTACCTCCATCGTGTAAAAGGTGATACCTTGCATTGTTCTATCAAATATTTCACAATATCTTTCATTCCATTGTCAACAGCGGCATGTAAAGCTGTTTGGCCCATTGAGTTCGATAAATTCATGTCAGTGTTTTTATCTTTTAATCTTCAAGAAAAAATACCATGTTAATAAAAAGTAAAGATAACTTATACGTTATGTTGTTCTTTGTTAAACGAAAAAAGTAAAATCACAAAAATACTGAACTCCGAGGAAAATTCAAAACAGAAAGTCCCGATTCAAAAGGCAAAATCAAAAGCTCATACACATCAAACGAATGGATAACTATTGTCATATTCCTGACTTGGAACAGACATTTTCTGATGTAGAAAATGTTGGATTGAACCTGGTTTTATAGCTAGCTAAACCTCTCATTTGTATGACAGTCGCATCGAATTCCATTATATTGACAACGATGCGTGAACAAAACAAACAGACATAGAAGTTAAAAATGTCAAAACTACAGCAGTCAAAATTGTGTTACAATCACATATGTAACAAAGAAGCACACAATGGCATTTAGACCAAGCACATCAGCAAAAATTAAAGACAAGAAAACACAAGTTTACCAGAGTACAATAACACAATGACGGGATGTACAGAGCCACGTCATATTTGTAACGAAGAAACATAAAAAGGCATAGACAAAACACATAGCAAAAATGAATTACAAGCACCTAACAAGTTATACAAAAGCACAAAAATGAAAGACAAGAATACGAGAATGTCATACACAATTATGACAGAATGTGCAAGTACCACAAGTATCTTAATTACAATAAAAACAACAAAATATTTAACAAAGAAGCACAAAAAGGCATATATCAAATTTAACAACCTCATTCGTTGCTTCTTATTTTTGAATTTTATTTATGTATGTTACATCCACCCATAAACGATTAAAATATTTTAAGTACTAGGACCGAATGGTAGATTAACATTGACTCTAACGTTGAATCGCGCGTTTGACGTCAGAATGTAAACGTCAAACAGGTAGTGATATAAAATAATTTTGTCATTCAAAGTATGAAAATAATATAGTCTATAGTTTTTTAGGCATATCCTCTGCAGAATGTCCCACTTTTCTTATTTGTATACATTTGCAGAATCTTTTATATTTTCATATATAGGATTTAACCAGTAAAAAAGGTTGCTATAGCACCAACAAATGGTTAAGTGCAAAACAGAAAAAAAATTAAACTGCAATATATAAGACATGCAGTGCTTTGCCGAAGCTGAATCTAAAGATACATAATAAGGCTTTGAAACTTAAATTTGAATTAATATGAAAAAAACTGTCATTATGCTTTTCACATACTTTCTGTATGTTCATTTTATCTTTATTGAATATGAAGGGATATTCTTACACAACTTACACTCAGCTTTCCAATTTTTAATTACGATGTATGTGTTGTGTAGAATGATCATAAAAACATTATCAATTAAAAATAATACCTCTATATGCACTACTATATTTTCGTCCACAGATAATGTTTTAAAGCAGTAATAAAAACAATTTACCGTCTGATTGTACGATTATCGCCCTTCCCAGCTGCTGTTATCAGTTCAATGGCTTTTATTTCTTTAAAGTTCTTTATTATGTAAAACAATTGAACATTTTAAATAATTAAGGATCAACATATAATGCATAAAAGGTAAAGAAACAAAACTATTGAAGACCAAGTGAAATTCAAAATCAAAAGTCCCTTAACTATTGTCAAAATCAAAAGCTTTAACACATCAAACGAATAGAAAACAATGGTCATATTACTGATTTCGTACAGGCATTTCTTTATGTAGACAATTTATATTAAACCTTGTGTTAAAGCTAGCTGAATCTCTCACTTGCATATCACAGCTGCATTAATAAATAAGCAGGTTTCCCAAAAATATGTCTATAAACGATTAAAGCCGTATAATGTGTATGGTAGACACGTTTAGATATTGTTCTCCAAATTATTGCTAATGTGGTAAACATATATTGTTGTTAACCATGTGTCAAAATGTTTGGTGATTGGAATAATACTCATAAATGGATAGTCTAAAATAAGCGAATCATCAAAATTGAAAATTCTGTCACATTCTTCCTAAAACTGCTATTGCAATGTATGTCTGGGAGAAAACAAAACTTAGTGTTTAATATAAAAACAACAGTGAATTTACAGAATTTAAACAAAACAGTTATATTACATGACAACACATAAGACTCGTGCATGAGGGTATCTCAAGCCACTTTAAGTGGCTTGAGATACCCTCATGCACGAATGTCAACCAGTAATGACATTGAGCCAGTGTTGTAAAAAACTCATAAAAAACTCAAGGTTTACAATTTGATACCCTGAGACCTGCGTTTAAACATTTAAGTTCATTTCTAAGAATTTCAAAATATTGTGGACATTACTCATGTGGTAGCATAATCTGTTGTCACAAATTGTTTCAAGGCATCTCGTGAAAGAATTCCCTTAGTAGCACTGATCTGTACTTATTTCATTATTTTAAAAACATTCTTGTAGCACTTCATGAATTTTAAATAATATGTTTTCCATATCGTTATTAGATAAACAGAAATGTACAAAACGATGTCAATATTACCTTTCCTTGACTTTTGGTCTGGTTGGTCCTATAAGATTCCAATAGTGCTATGGTGTTTTTATACTTTTCAATCTTATCCTCTTCCGTTTGCAATTTCTGGTGCACTTTCGCGTCATCTTCAGCTGACCGATTCCACCTGTGAACAGATAGGTTATTTTTAGCAGTTTACGGTGGAAATGAAGAGTACATATCAATGAGAAAAGATACAATGACAAATGCTCAACATAATATGTTTGATGTGAGGGTACGCAAATTGCGCCCATTTTTAAAGTTTTTTTCACCTCCCTTTTTTTACAATTCAGACAAATGGTCTGTATTTAATTGGAGACGTTTCTTTGTATACTATGATCCAGACCATAGGAGTATTTGGACCGTATGCGTATTTTTTCAAAATAGTATACGGTCGGACTGTACGCTTACGGTCTGCCTCATATAAAAAAAGTTGGTCAAGTTTATTAGATACAAATGTATATTACAGATCAACATGACTTAAATCTCAAATTGATATAAAAAGGTCAATTATAATTGAAATAAAAACGTAAAATTCACGTTTATTTAATATGTTAATCTCCTGTATTTAGCATGTCAGTAATACATAGATTGAATTATGCTCACTGAAAGTTATCGAAAGTAAACATAATGGGGGGAGAAAAGTTTTAAGAATATTTAGTAACTTTGCAAAATACAAAAGCAAAGTAACACACATGAACAAAGCATGTAAATGTCAAAAAAATATGACTTTTTTTGTGGAAGCAAGTGTTATCTTGGGCGAAAGTAACAAAATAGGATTCAGATAAACAATTAAAAATATTTGATTTCCATTAATTGAATGTTCGTTTATTCATATAATTGTAATAATATTAATTTGTAAAACTAAATCAAAGATTTCGATTATTGTTTGTTTAAATTTAATCCATATGATCCTAACATGTATGGCCCAACTCGTACTAGACCGTACGAGTATACGTATATATTCCGGACCGTACGCGTACGGTCCAAATACTCATATAGTCAGAAACATACTATATAGTTACATCGATTTAATTTTGCTCCTCCTGATCAGGGAGTAATATTTTTGGACGTTAACCAAGCAACAATCAATCTATCAATTTGTGTCCAACATTTTAGTTTTATGCATTATCTTTACATCTCCCCGTCATACGAATTTCATTAACGCGGTTTTCCTTTCGGGTTTTTTGTTACTTTCCTTTAGTTCTGTAGACTATTTTTAGTTTATATGTTTTGAAGTTATATCATCGTGCCACTGTTTTGAAACATTAAGACTGAAAATGTTTACATTATACGTAAAACAATCAATAGGTATATGAGGGTTTGAAACTAATAAAGACACTACATGAGTCTAATGACCAAATATTGAATAGTTGATAAAAAAAAACATTTGTCCCCAATTATATCAAATATGCGACATTTTGAATATATTCGAATTACCGCAGATGTTTACCCAGTAGGATTTCTCACTGTGCACGCACGTGGAAGAGCAAGTGTGTTATCTTTGTTTGTACATTAAAGTTTTGTTACTGGTTGCAAAAATGCAAAAACAATATTTTCGCTCCTCTGTGAGACCTTTTGCATGTAGCGGATTAGCTACATTTTTAAATGAAGGATTTAATTGGAATTTTATATTAGACCATGTTTTATTTTTCACAAATGAGATGCCTCATTTTCCAGTCATCCAATATTTACTAAATAAATTATGTGTTTGTACAGGGTTCACTTATTGTATTAAAAAATATTCGATACAAAATTATAAACCCATTTCATTCAACATTGACAACTTCATAAACTTATGCATTTGTCAATTTTAGAAAAGGTTGTTTAAAAATCTTTAAGGCAAAACACATTTTTTATTAGTTTGTGATTTAAACAACTGAGAAACAACTGTTATGATAATCTGGAAAGAAACTTTTCTGTTTAAGATTTGTCAGATACAGAAAGTGTGATGTTATGCTTAACCCTTTATCACCATCTTAAGTAAACAAATGAAAAATACTATTGTATATTAATATACTTTAAAACTGAGGACAGAAGGACTCTGGACTATTAAGTGCAAGTAAATGATCATGTATATATAAATATGTAGTTTTCAGTTATATTGTATACTTTTTTTGTATCTGTCCCACATTTATTGTTTAAAGTTATTGGATAAGACACATTTGAAGGTTATTCAATTGGTAAACTCGCTAAACGACTATAAGTAATGTCAATAATCATACAATGATTTTTAAAAAGTTCCGATTAAGCGCATATTCATGCCATGACTGTTTTAATTATGAAAGATATCTGTCTTTGTTGTTTCTGTAATGTAAGTGCAAACCAATTTTTAAAAAACAAAAAGGGAACAATCTATGTGGTCTTTGTACTTATTTATAATTTGCAGATGAAAAATTCATTATTCTATAATTAAATATTTACCTATCTTTCGCGTCTGGAAAACATAAATTATGACGAATAATAAATTTCAATACTTCGTTTTGACCTTCACATGCTGCTAAATGAAGTGCAGAGCGACCATGTAGGTCAACATCATCCATGTCTATGTAATCTTCATAATACAACCTATACAAAATGTGTAATATACACAAGTAGATACACATACTTAAGCTTGTTTTTTTTTAATATACAAAATATATGTTTATATCCAATGCCGGGTGTATCTATCAATGACATAATAGTTTTCTATGTTGTGTCATCTGTACTATTATTTGTCTTTTTTATTTTTGGCCATGGCGTTGTCAGTTTGTTTTCGATCTATGAGTTTGACTGTCCCTCTGGTATCTTTCGTCCCTCTTTTATAGAAAACACAAAAGATATGGGATATCTTATCTCAAAAGCGGTTGAAAATTATGACGAACGTGTATACAAAATAGAAGTGCTATCGTGGCCAATTTTTCTTGTCTTACAGGTTAATGGTCAGCAATAGAAGAAAAGAAGACCGAAATAATTATCATAGATAGAGTTTTGACTGTTGTCACATTTTTTTTCACTCGTTCTTTTGTCTGATAACATTTGACTTTGTAGGTTTTTATGGACTTTCCCCTTTTTGAATACACCCTGAAGTTCAGTATATGTGTATATTTTTTATATTTATATCCATGTGGTGTTAAGGTATAATTCTAGCTTCATTTGTTTGCCTGACCAACAGCTATATTTTAACTTTAATAATAGATATTCTCATAAACTTCCATTCGGATTAAAAGCCAAAGCTACAGTTTATCTTCAACTTAGTCTCATAATCGAAATGTAACCTATACCTCATTCCAAAACGAAGACTATAATTGTATGTCAAATTCGTAGTTAATCTCGATTTTGCATTCACATAAATTTATATATTGTTTTGGTTTTACATTTACTTAACTGTTTTTTATAGTTCTATTATTTGTTTCTCTGTAAAAAAAAATCTCAATAGAGCTTATTCAAAAATTGTATGATGCACTTGGATAAAAAGTCGATGCGTTATATTTCATACTTTAACTTCAAATTGACCCCAAACAAACACTTCACGTTTTGTCTCGAACTCTTATTTGATATCATGACAGATAGGGGTATGCTATTTTTGCTTTTCAAAAATCTTAGTTTTGGCGAAGATATTATAATTTTAAAACATTTTAACTCACATTGAATTTTTGTATTACTAACCCTTCGCATTTTTGATTTTTGGCTTAAAATGTATTTGACAAAAATTAAACCATGGAATATTTTGTAGAGAACGATTACAAACTAACCTTTTTATATGATCTAATCTATCTCCTTGGGCAGCTTTTAGAAGACAAAATATTCTTTTATCATACTCCTCGTTATACACTTCTGGATCCTGTGTTGTATAATGCAACGTTTTTTTAAATTTGATTAAAATTGATTGTCATGGTTGTTTCCAAAATTTTGACCAATATTATTTTTCTGTTGAATTTTCAAACGATTTCTCTTTTAAGACCTTTTTTTTTTATTATATAGCTCTTTAATTAAATTTAGGAGTAAAATGTTATTTTGAAAAAATTGGTTTCATAATGAGAATTTAACTTAGATGATACGATACCACGTCAGAGGCTATATTAACGTAAAATGATGAAATGAAAATAAAACATAACATTTGAAACAGAATACTTACAGAAATCATACGATGAACAGACAGGGAAAAACCTAAATAACAGGTTGTGCCTAAAAAATATAATCAGACAATTTAAATGAATATACCTACGGTTGTCTGTAAAAGTCATGTGACTTTATACTTCATGTTTAATCTGAAAGCAACTATACTGTTTTGTTAATTTAGTAGGTCCATTCCCGATGGGTATTATTTTACTAATGTTATTGATTTTCGTTTGATCATCTAGTTAGTGGCAAAACGGGGAGGATAAATTCAGTAATAATTGATTACTTTTTCTTATTCTATTCCTATCGAAAGTATTTGTAACGGTACGTGACATTAAAACTCCTAATATCAAATACTTACTATTTGTTAAGTCTTTTAACATGTTTTATTTAGCCGGGACAGAAATACAAATTTAACTCTCGATAAATCATGACTTTATGTTTCATCTTAAATAAAATTCAAAACTATAATACATATTTTAAAAACAAATTATTCAATCATCTTTTCTTATTGATGAAATAATTTCAATGCCAAAACATCTTTCAAAACTCAGATAAAAAATTACCGTTTTAAATGATTGGTAAATGCATTGGCATGTGTTAAGACAAAATGAACGAAAATAAAAGCACATGTATATAAAGTACAATATAAAAGCCTATTATAAAATAATCATTTGTATGTGAGATTATAAAAAGTCCACTTGTGTACCATTCGAATAATGTAAAAAACTGTTGGCTGTATACTTACACAAGAGAATTAAAACAATAAAGGTGAATACATATGCTAAAATTCTCTTTTCATTACGGAATGCCATGCAAATTCCTAAAACAAAACATAATAAATAGTTAAAAACCAATTGTTCAGAGAAAAATCGAAGGTCTTTTCACATCAATTTTCAAAGCAATTAAGAAGAATCAAGTTCCTGTTTCTCAAAGTTAAAATTGTCAATCCAATCATAAGTTTATTTATACCGATGTGATAAATAAGTGGTTTTTATATACATTTGAATGAAATAAAGGAGATAATGTGCTACTTCCGGTCAAGAAAATATCCACTACACGAAATCCCGGATTTGAAGAGGTATGCAAATGTTATGTAAATGTATTCAGAGACCGACATTTACATATATTTACAAACCGCTGCATTTAGTTTATCTTGTCTTTACATGTAGTAAATATCCAAATCTCTTGTGCTATACCCTCCTATGGGCAGTTATGAGAGACCACGGTTTATAAAATATATTAACACCTAATCAAACCATTTTAAAGTTTAGAATTTGCATATATTTATGACCATCTCAAAACTTTCGCAAACTTATGTATTTGTATACCTCTGCAAATGGAAATCTTTGTCATATATTTTTCTATGATGTAAATTTATCCGCAAATGTGTTTCTTTGTCTAGGTAGCAAAGCATCATCATTCGAATAATTTTATAGGGGTTATAAAGTGTAAGGTGCATTTACATTTGCCTGGTATGTAAATCAATTCAAAACGAGAACTTTATAGAGGGGTGTAAAGCATCATTTCCTTTAATCTGCAGAGACCTGTCAAATGTATTGTAAAGGAATATTTTTGTTAGTCTTTATAGTCGGCTGAAATGTATGTCAAATCAGAACATATCAAAAGCCTTTGAACATATTCCTAAATGTATGGTAAATACATAGATTTGCAAACAATTTGTTTGATTAAGAAATGTGGTCAAATGATAATATCAATGACATGTGTAAATATATTGGGCATATGTAACTTTGAATACATATGCAAAGAAATGATAAAGAAAGATATTTCACACAGCTAGAAACGTATCTGTAAATATATTGGGCATATGTAACTTTGATTTTATAAACCGCGGTCTCTCAAAACTGCCCACACCTCTGTAAAACAGTTTTGCAAATTTTAAACTTTGCATACATCTCCTATCCTGGAAAGCGCATGCAAATCTAAGGCCTATCTTTACATATCTTTGGAATATGAATAAAGCTATGGAAATAAAATAATTATCTTTAGCATATCTTTGAGGACGTCCTAAATAATGCCAAAGGAATAATACATTTACATATACATTAGTAGGTCCGCAAATATATCTGGCAGAAAAGTAGTTACATTTGTCAAACATTTACATGATTGCCCAAATTGTTGTAAATCTGCCTTTTCGTGTAGTGATCACTTCTGGTATCATATGATAGCTTCTTTCAAACTGATTCCAAAAATATAAAGTTTCTATTTACTTTTGCCTATAAAACAGGAAATGATTGGCCACTTCCGAATTATTAAAGGTCACTCCTCGTCTTTAGTGATAAATTTATGTATTTGTATTTCAAAATATATAGATTCCAAGTACTTTTCGATGAAAAAAGTGTACAAATAGCTACTTCCGGTCTAAAGGTGACTTCCAGTTGACATTTTTCAAGGTCATATATCACCAAACCTTTTGTTAAAGGTCATATGGCTTTATAATGAACCAAGTTGAGGTAATAATCAATTAACCTTATACAAAGACATTTCAGGGGCACTAACTCCTATTAGATGCTATTAGATTGTTTCAGACCAAAAGTAACGTATCTTCATTACAATAAAGCAAACAATATGCACTTGTTCTATTATATATATCTTTTAAAGTGTTTGAGAAAATGCAAAAACAAGGAAAAGTCAAAATTGAGAGCTTGAACTTGACCTTTGACCTTGATCTCATTTTCCAAGTTAGGACCTAGGGACCTCAAATAAAAAGATTCCAGGGTTATACGGTTAAAGGTTTATGAGTTGAAAAAAACATACCGACAAATTTATTTGGAAAAGGTAGATAACTCCTAGAAAATTTCATCGAATCGCTTCGATCAAATTAGACAAACATTCTTGAGGATGTAACGAACAATTTGTAAAAAGAATTTTGTCGATATCTTTTTTTGTTACGAAGGAGATGCAAACACATGATAAACAGTGAATAGGAAGATAACTCTTACAAAGAAACCTGTTTGGTTCAGCAGTGTTAAAATTTAAAAGTGCATAAACTGTATGATACTATATAAGAAATATCTTAGCGACAAATTGCGAAACAAAAATGTTACGCGAGGGAAAAAATTTGGCAGAAGAAAAAAGTAATAATAATAAATAACCAATTGTTCAGAGAACAATTGAAGGTATTTCCACATCAATATTCAAAATTATTGAAAAGAAGCTAGTTCTTGTTTACTTAAAGTTAAAATTGGCATCCAATCATAAGTTTGTTCTACCTGATGCGATAAATAAGTGGTTTCTATATACATTTGAGTGAAATAAGGGAGATATTGTCCTACTTCCGGTTAAGTAAATGTCACTTCTGGTCTCATATGATAGATTTCTTCACACTGATTTCAAAAATATATAGTTTCTATATACTTTTCACTGTAAAACAGGAGATAATTGCCCACTTCCGGTTTATCGAATATCACTTCTGGTCTAAAGTGATAAATTAATGTATTTATATTACAAAATATATGGATACCGAGTAATTTTCCATGAATAAAATGCAAAAATGGCTACTTCTAGCTTTCTCAAGGTCACTTCCGCTTGTCATTTTTCAAGGTCATATGTCACCAAACCTTTTGTAAAAGGTCATATGGCTTTATAATGAACCAAGTTGAAGTAATAATCACTTAACCTTAGAACAAGACATTTCAGGGGCACTTACTCCTATAAGATGCCATTAGATTGTTTCAGACCAAATGTAACATATCTTCATTACAACAAAGCAAACATTTTGCACGTGTTCTTTAATATATATCTTTAAAAGTGTTGGAAAAAATGCAAAAAAAAAAAAAAATCAAAATTGAGAGTTTGACGTTGACCTTTGACCTTGACCTCATTTTCTAAGTAGGACCTAGGGACCTCAAATAAAAAGATTCCAGGGTAATACAGTCAACATTTAATGAGTTGAAAAAAACATACCGACAAATTAATTTCGTAAAGGTAGATAACTCCTGTAACATTTCATCAAATCGCTTCGATCCAAATCAGCCAAAAATTACTGAGGATGTAACGAACAATTTATTTAAAGAATTGTGTCGATACCTTTTTTTTTGTTACGAAGGAGATGCAGACACATGATGAACAGTGAATAGGGAGATAACTCTTACAAAGAAACCTGTTTGGTTCAGCAGTGTTAACATTCAAAAGCGCATAGACTGTATGATACTATATCAGAAATATCTAAGCGACATATTGCGAAACATAAAAGTTACGCGAGAACAAAATTTGGCGGAAGAAAAAAATAATAATAAAAAATATAAATCAATTGCTTTAAAAAAGCAATTGTAAACGGTCTTTTCCCCTTTGAAACATTATTGATTGTTATGTGTGTGTGTATTTGCTTGTTTGTATGTTTGTTTGTTTGTTTGTTTGTTTGTTTGTTTGTTTGTTTGTTTGTTTGTTTCTTTCTTTCTTTCTTACATTAAAGGGTTCATATTAGTGTGTTGTTTAAGTTTCTATATTTAGTTTGAAAAGTTTTTATTCTATTTCAGGTCCCGCGCGCGTCTTTGTCTCGCGCCAGATTGTGGCGTCACGTGACGACGCTTTATAATAGCGAAAACTTTTATTTCTTTTTAGGTGGAGACGATGGACAGACAACATGTATAGCGACGGAATGCACACAATGTATTTCTTTTGTCATTGTAGGTTATTGATGTTTTGATCACAGTTCACAAGCAGTGCATGCTTTGGATTTAATTGATCCTGTGTACATTTGAAACACGTTTATCGATTATTTTCATACGATGTACATTTTTCAGCATCAGTTTGTAACACAGATTTGTATTTTAATCTAGGACCAGACATTTTATTGTAGGATTTCACTGAGATTTACGGAGCAAGCAAGCGAATTTTACGGCATTGGAATTTCTGTTCTCTACAAAAATTCTTGGAAGGTAGCTGCACAACGTTGTTATATGAAGATGTAATGCATGTATACCCTGCTGACTCCAAATTTTGAGGTCAATTGGCCATGTAGATTCAGAGAAGATCAGATAACATGCATGTGGAATTTTTGTTCAGAAGAATTGTAATAACAATATTAAAAACCAATTGTTCAGAGAACAATTGAAGGTCTTTCCACTTCTTACGATTTATTTTGATACAAAAATATGAAAAAATCGGTTTAAAATGTCATTTCCAGTGTCAAATGATAGCTCATTGTTTGCTGATTCCAAAAATATATGGTTTCGATACAATTTTGTTTAAAATAAGGGAAGTAATTCGTTACTTCCGGTCTAAAAAATGTCACTTCAGGTATTATTTGATTATTCATTTGACACTGCTTTCAAAAATATATTGTTATGTATACTTTTACAATCAATAAGTACCAAAAAATAGCCACTTCCGGTTTACACAAGGTCACTTCCGGTTTTGCTTTTTCAAGGTCACATGGCTAGTTACCTAATGTACAAAGTCCTATGGCTTAATGATGTATAACTATCAATTTAAACCAAAGGTCAAAATCTAGATCGTCAAATTAACACATGACCTTGACCTCAATTTCAAGTTCATTAACCAAAGACTTCAAATCAAAAGACCCTAGGTCTTTGATATGTATGGTAAATTAGTTATATCACTTTACGCATAATTCTACATATACGAGGGGTTAAAACTCCCATTTAACGTATAACCTTGGTTCTCCGGTAAAGCGCCCAACATCCGAGTAAAAAATGATTAAATATAAATTGCAGCAAAACTTGTAAATAAAGAACATGGACTATCCTCATATTATATTCTATCCACCATATGAATTTCAGCATGTAATATGCTACCGTTAATTTGTAATAATCGAGACAGTTTAGATGAAAA